ACTATTCCGATAACTTCTTTATACTTATAAAATAATCCTACCAGCTTGCCGTGGAAACTTTAATATATAACCCACTGTGTGCTGGAGTTAAGTACGCATGACTACAGCGCATAGCACTCGTGTAGAACAAATTGGTTGTGCGAATGAGGAAAGACTATTTCAGTAGATCTTTAGATCTAGAAAAACAAAAGGAATCAGAAGTGATCTACCAGTCATGACATCCTTTTCTTTCTCTATGAAAATGCCTTTAACCAATTTCTTTCTAATGCCCAGTGCCCAACCAGGCCTTTCCCCAGCGGCGTGGTGTGGTGACTACAGCCAGGGCAGATTTCTTTTTCTCAGGGCTGAGGTAATGATTCCCTTAGAGGTTCTACCTTTCAGATTAATGTGCCAATGTTACATACTCTTCACACATGACTGTTTACGTTTCAGTTTTGAAAAGATTTTACTAACCAATATTTTATACTAATATTTTATTAACTACATTAATCTGTGTTGAGATCCCAATTTCCCCTCCTATTATCTCTCCACTTGTAGACCTTTAGCTTGCTTCTTTCTGCTTTCAAAATAACCTTGTTTCCTGTAAGAGAAGACTGCTCCCAACTTTCTGGTGCCCAAGAAGTAAAGCAGAGGGGAGTAGGAGAGAGAGAATTTACTATTTTATTCCATTCTTCTCCCTTCCTTTCCCTTGCATTCCAGTTTGGTCCCAGCCAACAAGAGGCATTCACTTACGACAATGGCCTTGACACATTCACGGTAGGAGGTTCTGTTTACACAGGTGAGAGGGGCAGCACCCACTCTTGCCATATTCTTTTGGAATTCAGAGCATTTTGTTGCCTCATCTCCTGATATGGTACACCATCGAACAGTATTCTCAGGGGTGGCCAGACACAGCCCTGGAAGAAAGAGACCAAGGAGTCAGGGTTCACCCACTGCCCAAGGGAGAGACGGCCTCACTCTATGACAGAATCTTCTGGACTCCTATACCCCTCTTTGCTCTCCTCCCATCCCCTCTATTCTGTGGCTAAGTCAGGCCGCTGTCCTCAAGTGAAGACAACTTGCTGGCCTAAAGGGGACTCTGCACTGTCCAGGGTGCTGTGATTTCACCTCAGTTCTCAATAAATTAGAGGAGACCATCACAGCCTCTGAATTTCTTCTTCCTTCCTATGGCTTTGATGCATTTCCTACCCTTAGAAAACAAAAATGATGATGATCCCTCACATCAGGTTACGGAGTTCTTCCACCTACTTTGTCCCATCTGATCCTGGAAAACTGGCAGGAAAGAGATTATTGCTCCTGGTTTACTGATGTGGAAACTGGTCACAAGGAGGCTGAGTGGCATGTTGCTCAGCAGGCATGCTGTCCAAGTCTCTCTACATGGTTGTTTCTACCAGCATTTCCCCAGAGGACTCCATTGAGAACAAAGGGAAATACATCCAACCCCTCATCAGTAGCTGCAGGGAATGGGAGGGCCTGAGTTACGCCCTCTTGCCTCTACTTGGAAAGACTGGCCACTGCTTGTGCTCCGGCTGAGCCTGCCTTTATTGCTAGAATCTATGTAGCTTCCATTTAAGCAGGAGGCTGAACCAGATTTGCTCACAGCTCTTAAAAGCCATGTGGTTGCCTGATAAAGAGTATCCATGAAAAAGCCACAAAGAATATTATTCTTA